GTGGCTCACCTCAAACAAAAATATGAAAGAAAATGATCTTGTCTTGTTGAAGGAAGATAATACACCTCCCTTATATTGGCCGCTTGCCAGAGTGATTGAGGTCTACCATGGCAGTAATGGCAAGGTGCGGGTTGTTAAGATCAAAACGAAGGATGGAACTTTCACACGTCCCATCACAAAATTGTGTCCATTGCCAGAAGAGTATTCTGTGTAAATATTAGGTAAATGTTATATTGTATTGTAAAGTGTTGATTAGCTACTAAGTGTAATATTTTTTAGGGAATAAGTTTACTCACCCATGCATTCTATGTTTAGTTGATAGTTTATTGTTAAGTGTTCTCTAGAATTAGGTTTACAGTAGAATTCATCTTCTGTTAATTTAGTAACTTTGCTCTTGTTGTTGTCTCTTGTTGTTTTCTCTTGTTATGTCGCTAACTATTTTATTATTTGAAGCAATGCTTCAAGGCCCGGGAGTATGTTGGAAAACCAACTAATTCTTCAACTGTTTCAATTTAACCTAACGCTGCCTCTGTTCCTTAATAACACATGTTAGCCCTTATTAGTTAAAAGACCCAGAAATCTTCAGTGCATTTGACGCCCCTCTTACACCCGCTGACCCTTTGTCATTTACCCAAGCTGGCCACATATTGCATACAAGGATATAAGGGCAGTCGCATTAAGTAGTTCAAGTTAAGAAGTCGCTAAATAAGTTATTCTCTCTCCTCGTTCTCTCTCTCTCTCTCACCCGTACATATATATTACAAGTTATATTATAAGTTAGTTTTAGTGTTGCAAAGTGCAAGGTGTACATATGTAAAATAGTTTGCAAGTAAAATAAAGCGAAGAAGTAAAGTGTTAGTGTATAATTTCACCCCCACAAGAGTAACAAAACGAATCAGCAACCTACGCTTAAATCCTGTAACAAATCAAGACAGGTCACCACAAGGGTTTTGGTGCTCTCAGGGAACGTTGAAAATAACCCCATCGTTTCCCTTTAGCTAGTTTACAAACTCTTGTGTTTATTTGTTTCACTAGGTTGCTTGACTTGTGGTATTAGTGGTAGTTGAGATATATCCCAGAGTTACACTTTTTTCTATACCAATAACTTGTAATGATGTTATCCAGTTCTCTGGTGAACATTATGTCAAGAAAAGGAACAGATTAGTTTTGATCCTTAAAATTAAATCAACTGTATCCTCTAATGATTCTAGATACGCAGAGAGGTAAGAATTCATAGAACAGAGTTCATATAATAAGAAAAAAAATGGAATTCTCCAGCGAAATATCTGTCTAACGATATGCTACACATGGTATATTCCCTATTTAAAATTAAAGTAATATGGTACTAGAGGGGAGAGGCTTGACAAATGACATATCTTTACCGTTAAAAGAGTCCACTTTGAAATAAAAATCGACCTGTTTCATAATTTTCGCAAAATCCAATGAATACTAGAAAAGTTCATTTTGCGTCATAAGCTATAAGTGACTGGTCTATTTATAAACACGTTCTAATATCATATCGACCAGTCGAGAAGGGGTCAAGTCAGCATATCGGAGAATCCAGCGGCTAACTATCATCCTACTATAATCCAAGACAAACTGACTTCGCTCGACCTGTCATACATAATGTTCAATTTACTTCTCCGGCTGTAACTGTAGTTAGTTACCTCAACTAAATACGGGGTTAATATGACTTCGTATCCAGTAGATAAAGGATGGCCAGAGGGCCAATTTAAATGCAGATGGTAATGGCCTTTGATCCTGGCGTATTAATTTATCTGGATATTAGTAGTTATTAGGTGTATTAAACAAATAGAATGCGAATAATGTTTAGGAGGGTCATTTCTATTTCTCTGCTAGTCCGAATATGTCTACAAGGGTATTAGTTATGCTTAAGGTCACTTGAAGTTACGTTGCAAGCGCCTTCATCTCTACCATCGAGTTAGAATCTATGGAGAGGGCATCACGTGACTAAAAACGACCCCACTTCGGCCATATTGGTATTATTGTTTTGAAACTTTTGACAGATCGTATATGTTTGATTATATTTGTTGTTTTTCGAATATTTTCAGTTTTATAATACTTTTATAGAAACTTTCTCGTTCTCAACGTAGTTGCAGTAGCAGAAGTAATGTTAATAAAAAATCTTCAGGAATATCGTTCCACAGGTTAGTATATAAATATGTAAACAAAGTAATGGCCCGTACTTCAGACAATAAATTAATACTATTTGACTGTAATAATTTATCTTTATGTATAATATATCGTGTTTTTAGTGTTTACCGCGGGATAAATAAATCATAGTTTATTAAAAATGTATTGCATTTTTTTAGATTATGATTAAATCTTCTGAATAACTAGTCATATTTGTATAGCAGTTTTATTATTATTGATTTTGGCCCTGATGTCACCGCCATATTGCTATTATCGTTAGCAACTCCTACCTATGCCGTTTTTAATACATTGTCATACGTTAATATGCTAAGCTTCTCCATAGATTCTAACTCGATGATCTCTACCTACGGCGCTGGCCGTACCGTTAAACATTGGTAAATTTTAAAAACTACCACACTAACTTTGATGTTTCTTTTCAGAATTCATGTTCAATTACGTAATTTCTTGGTGGAAATTTAATGATAGTGTTTCGTTTGATATGATTTATGTGTATGTATGATCTGGTTTATGTGATAGCTAAAAGTATCGGAGTAAATATAGGTTTGGAGAAAAAATGTAAAAGGGCACATGGGAAAAACTCCCGTCACTCAAAAAAAGTAATTTACGAGAAAAAAACCATTTTATTGTTTTTTCAACTCTGGAGTCTAAAAAAATAAACAATAAACGTAAAGAAAACGTTTTAATTAATTTATTGACAATTTTGTTAATATTTTTGCAGTAAAAACCAGAGTAAAACCTAACAAACTTAAAAAAACGGTCTGAAGTCAATTCTCTCCATCATCAATTAGGGGGTCGTCAGCGTATTCGTCATCATTTTCTTCCTGTTGAACAGCGTCAGCAGTTAAATTTTGATAAAAAAGCTTTGCTTCGGGGATTTCCAAATACTGGAATAAATGAAGAAGGTCGCGATATTTTGCAGCTGGTATTGGAGTTTTCCATTGTACAAATTTTGTAACGGAGTAATTACTGCAGTGGTTGCGCCTTGATTTTTCTTTGATTCTTTACAAGGAGTTTTTTTTTAAGGACTAAGGATGCGTAATGTATAAAAAAGTATGTTTATAGAACAGAAGTCGTCCTTTAGTTGCCGAAATTTTTGACATATGAATCGATCTCGTGGGAAATGGACATTTTCGGGGATAAAGTGATGATAGGTAAGCAGTCCAATTTTAGAGAGGGTTTTACCCGAGTGTTCCTTAGAACCTCTCTCCAGTCTTGTGGAACCTCTGTTTAGAATTTTTGTTTAACAATGCTCATATTCCGATCGCTTTCCATGTAAGAGTGCCCCCTTATCGGAAATATCATCTTAACTGTTTTAAAACGTTAATTTTTTATTACCAGATGATGTAAAAACCGGATAAATATATAATTTTTATGTTGACCCACACATGAGTCTCAAAATATACAGAGTTCTTACACTTCAAGGGGCAAAATTTTAAAAACAAAATGCCGAAACATGGAGCATACATCATCTGCGCCTTTTTTTGCCACAGACTCATCATACGTATAAAAAATTGCTTGCTGCGTTGAAAGTACATGAATATTGAAACTAACAAAATTCAGTGGCCGCCGATAGTAGACATTATTAGTCGTAACGTAAGACACGGCAGATTTTTGTGAAAGTCCATGGTAACAGATTCCATAGTGATTGATTTCATGGAACGTTGTCGGTAAATTTTTTAATGTATAAAAACGCTCACCTACAGGAATCACTTGTACTACAAGAGTCCTTACGTAGATAACCAAAGGAAAGGTTGAAGTTGTTCTCAAAAATCTCACGAAATTTTACGAGGCGTGTTTCTTAAGTAAGTACCGTTTTGGAATTAAAAAAAAGACGTGCAAAGATATGGCAATAATTTTATTTTTACATGAAAGCCTGTACCTTAATCTACTTTTCTACATAGTTTCCGTGAATATTGAGGCACTTGTCATAACGTGGCACCAGTTTTTGAATACCCTCCTGATAAAATTCTGCCGCCTGACTTGTTAACCACTGCATCACAAATGTTTTGACTTCGTTATCGTCTTCAAGACGCTGACGCCCAGGTGTTTCTTCAAGTGCAGGAACAAATGGTAGTCGCTGGGCGCCAGATCAGGAGAATGATCTAGAGTTTCCCATTTAAATGGTTCGATGACATCCCAGCTGTATGGAGGATGATCTAGAGGTTCCCATTTAAATGATTTGATGAGATCTTTGGTCTGATTAGCCACATGTGGACGGGCATTGTCATGCAGCAAAACGATACCCTTACTCAACTTGCCACGTCTTTTATTCTGGATTGCACGACGCAGATTTTTCAATGTCTCACAATAAGACGCTGCATTGATTGTCTCATTACGAGGTAGAAAATCCACTAGCAATACTCCTTTTCTGTCCCAAAAAACTGTGCACATGATTTTCCGGGCAGAAATTGTTTGCTTTAACTTCACTCTTTTGGGTGATGATGAATTTCGCCATTCCATGGATTGTTGTTTCGAATCTGGTGTGACGTAGACCACCCACGTTTCGTCACCAGTAACAATTTGGTCTAAAAAATCTTCACCTTCACTGTGGTACCGCTCAAGGAAAGTCAATGCACTGCCTAAACGTTGGGTTTTGTGCAAATCCGTCAACATTTTTGGAACCCAACGTGAACACAATTTCCGGTAATTCAAGTTCTCGGTAACAGTGCGATACAAAACACTAAGAGAATACTGAGGAAAGCAGTCGGACAATGATGAAATTGTAAAGCGTCTGTTTCTCTCACCTTTTTTTCATTAACGACCGAAGGACGCCCACTCCGTTCTTCATCATGCACATTTGTGCGGCCATCTTTAAATGCTCTTACCCATTTCCTTACCATTCCATCACTCATAATGTTTTGTCCGTAAACTTCAACGATCTCACGATGACTATCGATCGGTTTTACACCTTTAGCACTAAGAAATCGTATAACAGCCCGTACTTCACAATTAGCGTGACTCACGATTGTTGGAGGCATCTTAAACATTGGAGTAAATAAGTATACAATGAAGAATCAGACTGTAATGACGTCAGTGCGTAGACAAGAGATGTAGATAACCAGCGCTCATGCGCGGAACGCCGACCGTAGCGCTGCGGCGGCGGAATCGCAAAACGATACTTATTTAAAAAACATGCCTCGTATGTTCTGGATAGTTCATCATCATTCAGCCCATACTCGTCCACTGCTGAACATAGGCCTCCCGTAGTTCACCCCACAAATTTCTGTCCTGAGCCGCCTGCATCCAATTTTGATGTGTCCGTTTCAGGTCATCCGTCCATCTTGTTGGTGGTCGTCCTCTATTCCTAAAGCCATCTTGTCTGGGTCTCCACTCAAGAATGCGTTTTGTCCATCTGCCGTCCTTCGTTCTCGCGACGTGCCCTGCCCAGTTCCATTTTAAGGTTGATATTCTTTTGATTGCGTCGGTTACTCCCGATCTACGGCGCAATTCTGTGTTGGGTATTCGGTCTCTCAGGGTTAATCCCAACATGGACCGTTCCATTGCCCTCTGTGTTGTTCGAATTTTGTTTGCGGACGTCTGGATAGTTAGTTAAGTATAATATGGTATAGGTATAGCTTTGAAATATTTAACTCCACAGGAAGGTAAATTTTGTTGGTGTCTTTCAAAGAATAGTGTGATTTTCTCCCTTTAAGAGATTTCAAATAAGTAAATACGTTTTGTTTTGTTTCTTGTGAAAGTTTGAGGAGTCTTGTTGAATGTTTTCCACGACGGTCAGTGGGAGATTTACCAGCACTAAGCAGAGCACCCCTTATCTACCTAACCTTATCCTCACTAACACCATGAAGCGACATGAACGCTTTTAAGGAGACCTGAACATCACATACAACATTGTCTTTTAACAAACGAACTCTATATGAAAATTAAGCTGCGTTATATATGATCTACATTACGATGTCGTCTTTGAACTATAGGCAACATTGTAATGAGGTCACTTAAATAAGAGTTCTGCTTTTCTCTATCTCCCAGCAGATTTTACTCTTGAATGTGAATGATTCGTTCTCGTCCCTCTTCTGGTATATTCTGAAAGAATTTAACTCTTTTGCACAAACAGTCAAACAGAGCAAATGGGCAAAAGCACCAGGCCCAGACGACATAAACAAAGAGGTTCTAACAATGTTGAGTGAAGACAATATAGACGCCTTGGTAGATCTTTTATTGACATTTATGGGTCCGGTCAAATACTACAGGATTGGGCCAAACGCTAATAGTTGCATCCAATTCCGAATGATCAGCCAGGTCCCAAAACTCTTCTTAAAGATAATTCACACAAGAATATACAACAGATGTAAAAGAGACATTAGCCCACATAGTTGGATTTCAGATAAGGATTTGGCACAAGAGAAGCTCTGTATAGCTTAACTGTCCTACTTCAGAAATGTCTTTAATCAACCTTTATACCAATCCCAAAAAAGCCAAACTCTAATAGTTGCAACCAATTCCGAATGATCAGCTTCTTGAGCCAGGTCCCAAAACTCTGCTTAAAGATAATTCACACCAGCATATACAACATGTGAAAGAGACATTAGCCCCACACAGTTGGATTTTACACAAGGATTTGGCACAAGAGAAGCACTGTGTAGCTTAACTGCCCTACTTCAGAAATGCAGAGATCAGCAAAAAGATATCTTCCTATGCTTTATAGATTACCAGAAAGCGTTCAATTGTGTTAATCATTCAGAATTATTAAGATTTCTCCAGGAACGTTCGATAGATGAGAATGACCTTAAAATCATAAAGAACCTTTATATGAATCGAAAGGCATCTGTGAGAGTAGGACTGGAATCTATATCATATTTTTTAATCGAAAAAGGTGTATGACAGGGTTGTATTATGTCCCTCTCCTTTTACTCTAAAACGATTTTCGATAGAGCCTTAAGTGACACTGAAGATGGAATCAAAATCAACGGACAGACTATTAGTAATCGTCGCTATGCTGATGATACAGTTATAATAGTTGATAGCCAAAAATCCCTACAACGACTAATATATAGAATAAACACTGAAGGAGAACGACGGGGCTTGAAGATTAATATAGACAAAACGAAGGTAATGGTGGTTAGTAGAAGACGAAATATGCAATTAAATATAAAAGTAAACAACAAGAACATCCAAAAGGTCCACAAGTTCAGATATCTCGGTAGTTAGATAACTGAAGATCTATGTAGATCTAGACATAGAGATACGTAGCAAGATTGAGCAAGCCAGAACAGCATTTACTAATATGAGAACTTTGCTAAGCAACAGCAGCCTTAACTTAACGCTTCGATATCGCTTTGTAAAATGTTACATTTACTCCATACTGCTGTATGGTATAAAAACCTGGACCATAAAGGCCAATGTGATGAACCGATTTGAGGCCTTTGAAATGTGGGTATTTAAAAGACTAAAATTTCCTGGACAGATCACACAACAAATGTCGAAGTATTAAATCGAATGGGCAGAGAACGAGAATTGCTGCCAATAATAAAAAGCAGAAAAACTGAAGTACCAGTTCTTAAAGCTTATTATGGAGCATTTGTTTTAGATCCCTTTTGTTTTTTATACTCTCATTTTTTTATAATGTCCATTAATTCGTACCAATGTTTTTTACGATTTTCAGCATATTCTGTGACTCTATTTGTGTTGTCCCTTTTGTGGTTTATGGTATTCACTTTTTAGTTGATTTCCTATTCTTTTAATTTTTTATTTTCTTCAGTGCTTTTTTAAAACAGCATTTTTGATTTATCGCTGCGTTTTTGTCAATTTACGTAGTGCCTTCAGTGGCACTACAGTAAAAAATTATTTTGGGACAAATATGGCATCTTAAATTTTGTTCGTGGCGCCCCCTTCTTTGAAATGTCTTAACGCTAAAGAAAGCCGCAGGCAGTATGCAGCGATTTGTATTCGCGATATTTTATTTTGTACCTCATATAAAAGATGTCTATGGACAGAAAGAACGAGGTGGAATGAACTTTGTCTGTTATTTAAAACGGAGTATTAAAAAAGATGTTAAAAATATTGATTGCTAAAACTATAAAATTATTTACGTGAAATTGATTTTTTTTCTATTCAAAAATATTAATGTAATGTAGGTATATGCTCCAGTCGACACAGAATGAAAACTAAAAGAAGCGTGGTTCGAAAAAATTGTTTTATTCACAAAATAAAATTTTATACTAAAATTTATTTTAAAATATCCTAAAAATATCATATTTTAAAAGGAAATGGTATTCTAAAATAGCTTTTCCAAATTTTCATATTGATATAAATTGCTCAGAAATCATTATGATCAGTCATATAAATTAGTGTCCGTTAAAACAATTAACAAGAAAGATGAATTTGTGACTAACTTAACCCTAAAACTGGAAAGCTGTCAGCTGTCATTGATATTGATGTCAACATTAATCAAAATTATTAAAAATAAATATTTTTATTTTTATTGATGTAATTAAAAATATTTTGTAAAAAGTTCTTAAATTCCAATTTTATAAAATGGCAGATTATTGGAAATCAAACGAGAGAAAATACTGCCAGTTTTGTAAATGCTGGTTTGCAGATAATAAACCTAGCAGGGACTTCCATGAAAAAGGTAGAAGACACCAAGAAAACGTTAAGAAAGGTTTAAAACAAATTACAAAAGCTAGTGCAAAGGCTCATAAAGAAGCTGAAAATGTGGATTCTGCAATTAAAAAAATGGAACAAGCTGCTATGGCAGCTTATCGGCGGGATGTGGAAAGTAATTCCAGTGCTGATCTAACATCTATGGCAATCAGCAAAAAGTTAAAAGATGATAACCTGCAATTAAGAAATACTCAGAATAAAGTTTGGTATGAAGCTAAATCAGAAGATGGTAACCACTATTACTGGAACACATTGACGAATGAATCTGTTTGGGAGCCACCTAAAGAAGGTTATTTAAGTATACAAGAACAAGAAGAACAAAAGTATGGAGAAACCGCAAAACAAATAAAGCTTGTGGAGAAACAAAAGAAAATTGATGGTTTAAAATTAATGCAGGTACAATAACATGTAATACAGCTTCTTTAATCTTGTGGTACATTTAATTTTCTTTAAGCTTGTATAACCCGACAAGCGAGAGCTGGTGGGTTGCGCGTAAAAGAAATTGAAAAGTGTTCACCGTTTAAGTCATGTACATCGTGTATAACCGTTTAAGTACCTATACTATATACCTATAATCGCGATTAAGTACCTCTCCTATCTCTCTTAGAATAATTCCTTTTCTATTTTCGAGCAGGTCACCCGCCAGCTCTCGCTTGTCGGATTATACTGTAGTCTTTTTTCATGCCATCTGTAGTTTAAATTTTATACTTCCATTATAAACTATAAACATTAATAAGTTGTTTGGTACCTCCCAATGCTGTGTAAGTGTAGTTGATTTTTAATTGACCAAATAATTGAAAAGTATATAATTCATATATTTTATGTCATACTAGTTCATTATCATGTTTTTATTGCTTAATTACAAACTACATAATAGAATACTGTATGTCCTTGCGAGCATAAAGTGCACTTTATGGCCTGTACTGGCATATAAACAAAAAAAATTGATAACTTCTTAATAACATTTATTATTAAAGCTACACAATATGGAATTAAATTATTATAACTACATAAAATTGTTTAGTAGAATTAACATAAAACTGGTAATTCTGGGAAGATGAGGTGATAGATAGATCTGACATTTTCACTTTGCCTTCTTCTTCTCTAAGTTCCATCTTCTATCGAAGGTTGGAAATCATCATGGCTATGCAGACTCTGTTGACCGCCGCTCTAAAAAGTTACTTTGCCAGCCACAGATATTCATTCATTATATGTGGACGATATTGCTCACTCTACTATGAAAATTTTCTGAAGTTTTCAAAATATTTAGATTGTGAATATGATAACAAACTAGTATGACATAAAAGTTTGTATGCACCTTGGGCATTAATAGATGTGTATATACTCAGGTGACTAAGATAGTCAACTTCATGCATAAACATCTACTTAATGCCCTTGGTACATAAATAACTATTATACACTTCAGATATTATATTTATTGGTATAATTCTAAATGTTGTAGTTTTACAGCTATGAAGCAGTACATTTTATAAATTAGTTTCAAAAATTAAACAAATCTGCATAGGCTTATTAATAAATATTAATAAAATTATTTCTCCAGACCTTATCTCTATATAAATGCCTATGCCTAAATAAAATATTAATTTTTTAAAATATTCACATTGTGTCATTGTTTTTGTTTAAATTTTGAGGCTTAGACTAGCATATTGCTCTTAACTGAGTGAGTAGTGCTATTTATCTCTTATTAATTTATTGATAACATGGACTGTTCATAGTATTTGCCACAGACTCTGAATAAATTTATTAGTACTCAACTAAAGATTTGTGTAATCCTGTGGTTTTCAATATTGATGACAGTCATTTTTTTAACAGATACATTTTCTCAGTCTTACATTAATCAGTTCTTCATTTTTTTTTTTAGGTACGAAAGGAAGAAGAAGAAGAGGAAAGAGCCAGGTTAGAAAGAGAAAAACTGAAAGAAAGAAGAGTAGCAGACAGTCCCCCACCAGTATATGGTCCTATTCTTGAACCAGTAAAAAATGATGCTTATGGCCAGTGGCATACAGTGAAAGAAATAGAGCATGTAGATCTACAGTTACCTCCACAACCAGAGTATATTGAGTGTCCAGTGACATACGAGCCTGAAGAAATTAAAAAAGAGTTTAAAGAGAAGACCATAGAGAGTCTGAATGAGGGTGGTTCAGCATTTTTCAAGAAAAGGAAAATTTTTTCTGGGGGTAAGAGGAATGTTAGGCAAAGGTTGGATGATGATTAGCAAAGGACTTAAAGTCAGATGTAAAATATTATGTTTTAAATAAATAATTGTGTTAGATATTGTAATTTCGTTTTAGTAGTTTGTTTTTCCCAAATATGACCCAAGATAGAAACATGGAAAATGTAATTAGGGAAGTCGACCCCACAGAAAGATAATGTCAAAGAAAATGATGATTTTTGTTTTGTCCTCTTGCCATTTTTGCCTTACATCATTAGCCCCGCCACTTACGTTTCAACACAGTAGTGTGATTTTGTCTAATGCTTTTAAATTGAATGTAATTTGATCTTCTATTAGCACCATTCTTTGACGGCATACAAACAAGTCAGTCTGCAGCAGTATGACTGAATTGGTTGGGTTGTAAATTTAATCGTGTGTATTGAGACAACGAAAAAATCTTACAACTGCAGAAAAATCATTTATAAATTGTGAAAATGGTTTATAGCGAAGAGTTTTTAAGAGATTTTTTTGTCATTTGCTATTTATATTTTGGTTGTTAAATTTTAAGAAGTAAAAGCGGGGCCTAATAAAGAGTTGGTAAAACAGAGAATTAATAATTTTTGAACATCTTACAAAGGGAATTAAAATTAGTAAAGAACTGCAGCAAATCTGGTGCAGGATCGGTGGAAATTTATAAGCAAAAGGTATGGTATTTTTAATTGCTATCTCTTTTGGGTGATCAAGAAGACCTGTCTCTAGTATGTCTGATGAGGAAGAGGTAAGTAAATAAAAGAAATATTCATATAGCTTTATTTTGCCAGATTACAGCTCCTTCATTATTAAAATACTCCATAAACTTGATTCTTGTATCCTTTCCAATCTGTGACAAACTTCTGTTGCATGAACTTTGTTGTATATCGAAAAAATTATTTTAAGTAGCTCAAAGACCTACTGTAACTGTTCTAGATTCGTGGTGTTCATGATGTAAATGCTCAGTAGGAGTATATATTTGTTGACATTTTGTTCTTAACAAATTGTGTAAGACGCAAGATGCCATCACTATTATCTCAATTGCTAATAAATTAACATTGATTGTCATATGAAATATTTGAAACCTAGCAGCCAGAATTCCAATAACGTTTGCGCTCGTGATGGTCTGTAGTTGATAATAGCTCTCTGCCTAAATTTCTCTAAGGAAATGATTTAGCAAGGTTTTCTAACAAAAAACATCATCCCAGACAAATACGTAAGGTAAAGTCAGTTCACTGTTTTGTAACTTTGCTGGTTTAGGTATTTGCGGAGCTCCAGACTTCAATTTTTTCACCTATGTTTCTTGAATTTTTTTCTTTTATACAAAGAGCAAGAGCCGTTAAAGTATATTGTCTGACTTGTTTTTAATTTGGAAGTAAAACTCATACTGCAAAATCGGTATGTTCGTTCCCATCCGATTTTCAACATTATTTTAATGCAATGGCATTCGACAAAATCGTACTGCGCCGTTGGAACGTGAGTGGCGGGCTTTAGGTTTGAAGGTGAGGTATATCTTCTTCTTAACATTCCCCATCGCTAAGGACATTAGCGATTATCATGGCCCATTTGACTCTATCTGCAGCTTTTCTGAAAAGTTTTATTGATGTTTTTCCACTCCATTGTCTCAGATTCTTCAACCAAGACGTGTGTCTTCTCCCCGGTCGTCTTTTGCCTTCCACCATCCCTTGTATTTGTATTATTATTATTTAATTTTACTATATATATATATATATATATATATATATATATATATTATATATATATATATATATATATATATATATATATATATATATATATATATTATTTAATTAGCCGCATCAATTCGTATTTCTCGTTTCTTAGTATGTGATCAAAGTAGCTCATTCTTCTTTTCTTTATAGTGCTGAGTATTTCTTTATCTTTTGTCATTCTTCGTAGCGTTTCCGCATTTGTTATGTGTTGTGTCCAAGATATTTTCCACATTCTTCAATAACACTACATTTCACAGTTAATGAGTCTTTTTTCTCTCGCCTCTGTAATTCTCCAGGCCTCAACTCCATACAACAGGACAGAGAACACATTGTAGCATCTCAATACTCTCATCATCATCATCAACTAGCCTCTAACGTCCACTGCTGAACATAGGCCTCTCGCATGCTTTTCCACTTAGTCCTATTTTGCGCCATCTGAATCCAATGTGTAGTCACTCTTTTTATGTCATCTGTCCATCTCGTTAGGGTTCGACCTCTATTTCTGTTAGCTTGTATTCGGGGTCTCCATTCCAAAATTCTTTTTGTCCACCGGTCATCAACTGATCTTGCTACATTACCTGCCCAGTTCCACTTTAGTGGACTCAATTCTAGAGTCTCAATACTCTAGTTAGTTCTAATTTTAATGTTGAGTTTTCCTATACCTTTCGCAATATTGGGTAATGTGATCCACCAAATCTGTTGTCCTTCTCTGCTGTGCGCAAGGAGTATTGTGTCATCCGCGTATCTAAGATTATTCAGAAGTGCTCCGTTAATAAATATGCCTTCATTTACGTCTTCAAATGCCTCTTTAAACAATTCTTCTGAATACATATTAAAAAGTAAAGGGGAAAGCACACATCCTTGTCTTACTCCACAATGTATAGGTATTTCTTTCGATTTTTGTTGGTCTATTCGTATTATGGCTTTCTGATATCGGTATAGATTGGCAATGATTCTCACGTCTTCATCATCTAATTCTGTGTTCTGCAGTATTTTTGCCATTATTCGGTGTTGTACTTGAGGTATATAAGGTGAAGTATATAAAAAGGTGAAATAAAACACAGAAGTATTTTCGTAACATATTTATTTTTTAATTTCGTGCATAACAGCCAAATATTAATATTTTTTTATTATTTCTCGAATAATACTTAAATTTTTCAAAATATTAACACAAATATATACCTATTCATTTGTCAGCAACACCGATAATATGATAATAAGAAGAAAAATCAGTTCAAATGGGACGTAAGTATATGGTACAACTAGGAAACATGTAAAAACAATAACCATGCATACTAACTTTAAAATGACAAAATGTAAATTTTTTTTTTAATTTTATGAATATATTGAGCTCAAAATTCAAATGGTGAACATAATTCTATTATTTTGTGGGACAAAATAACCACTCAGGTTTTAAATCATTTCATTTGCAAGAATATTTATCTCTCCCTCCAATGGCATTACAGCCCAAATTGAGGCCTCCTCCAAGCTTTCCGGTCCCGCAATTCTCCAGGTTCTCACGTCTAGCAAATTTTGGGCATCCCCTGTCACTTCATCTCACATTTTCTGTGTCATTCCTTTTGGTCCTGTGACATGCATTTTACTATCTAGGGCTCTATTTGGCAATCTTTTAATCTTCATTCTCACTACATGAACAGCCCATCGAAGTCTCTGAAGCTTAATGAATTCTGAGATATGTGCCTCTTTGATCAGTTGGTAGAGTTCAGGGTTATATTTGGATCTTCATACTCTCTTTTCGTTTCAAGGTCCAAATATCTTTCTTAGGTCTTTTCTTTCAAAGACTTCCAGCTTTCGTTTTGTGTCTTCTGTCATCACTCATGTTTGCATCCATACTATACTATTGGTCTGATACTTAATGGTTTTGTAGACCCTATTTGTTTCATGTAACTATATTTAATAATCATATTTTCATTCGAAATAAAAAGATATCGATCCCTTAGTGCAGTCTGTCTGCGGATAAGTGCAGCCAAAACTACAACAGATACAGAAAAACTTGGTTTTGATCTAATAAAAGCGCTCCTTCCGTCTCTGTTTGCATGTATTAGCTATAGAATTAGGAATCTAAGGAACCATACCTGATTTATCGAGCCTTTCGCGGTTTCATCTTAATTTGACTTGTACTGAGACATGCATGGCTTAATCTTTGAGACAAGCATATGACTACTGGCAGAATCAACCAGGGAGCTGTTGGATTAACTATTTGAAAAAGAACGAAATAGATAACAGATAATCAGTCTCCTCTAGATTTTAATTCAAGAAAGACAAACGTATCCTAATCTATTATAATTCTTTTTCGTTTGCTTGTTTAGTTGCGTCTGAAAGATATACTTTCTAACGCCACGCTTACAAAAAAAAATTATGACAAAATAGTAATATACATTTTAGTCTAAATATGTCCGGATAACTTTATAACTATAAAGGTCCATTCAGATCATTCCGTAATTTTCAGAATGATTTAAGTGGATCAAAGTTATTATTTTACGCCTTCCGGTGAAAAATTCAACATCCTCTCAACACTTCGCTAGATTGAAAGCGGCACGGTGTTCTCGAAAGAATTTGAATATGTTAGATAGAATATATTCATTCGGAAAGAGGAGAGTTACCGCACGTTTATGTTTTGATCCACTCACTGAAAAAGCTTGCAAAATTCACGAATATGAATGGGTCTGAACCTTAAATGGAATAAGACGTTTTAAAAACTTATAGGAAAAAGCTGGCACAAGATGACAAAAAGATAAATCTTAAATAAAAACCTTAATCAAAGGTTAATTGAACTAATGGTTTTGTAAATTAATATTGAAAACCACACCACCTAGTGACAAATAGTTTTCAGAATGCTGGAATTCTTTACTTACATTCACATCAAATCAGTGTTTTCTTGGGGAATATTCCTTTCCACTTCCTTATGTTTATAATTAAAATATCGTACTTCTTTAATAAACTTATGTCAAGAAAATATCATTTTTAAATGTTTCCAGTTTTCCCTCTTAAAATACTATTGTTTCTATGTGATAAATTGGACTAAATATTATGTCACTTTTCCTACTATTATGATAACTATTTAAAAATATGAGCTGTAATGAGTCTACTACAAAAAATGCAATCAGAGTATAGAGTAGTTTATTAGAGTGCTTGAAATATCAGCACAAACACTAAAAAACTACTTTGAAGTAGAGAATGTGTTAACAAGCAAATTATGTCATAAGGATATTATATTTATATCTTTGTATTAATGCTGTGTGTATATTTAAAATAATTGCTATTTTTACTTTGGTTTTTGCGGGTATGTAAAATATTTGGTAAACATAATAGTTATGCAACTGTTTGTCGGGTTCACCCAAA